GTCGGACGCTTAACCGACTAAGCCACCCAGGCGCCCCATCTTTTATATGAAAAGTCTTAATTGCCATGATTAAGGCATCTCTTCCAAAGACAGGTTTTATATTTTTCTTTTTATAAGATTAAGTCATAGGAATTTTTCTTCGATACTATGTTTTAAAAAATTCACAGTGATAAGCAATATTTGCATATTAATTATTATATCCAGCAAACCCATGCTTTTCCTTCTACTATTCATTATCTTCAGGTCACACCATTTAAACAGATGCAGTGATTTAATATTTCCCAGATTTACCATGTTCAAGTGACCGCTCTGCAACCATGGCAAGGAATGGCCTGAGTACCTACCATCTGCTCAGCGTAGTGTATTGTTTCTCATTTATTCCTCACGATACAAGTCAGTGAGTTAGGTATGATCAGTCTCATTTTAAAGTTGAGAAAAGTGAATCTCAGTTTAAGTAACTCTCCCAAGGTCACAAATCTAGGAATTTAGGGACATATATTCAAAATTGGGATGAATAAAGAAACTAAAGTATGAATAAGGCAGGCTTCTCTAAAAGGATTCAATGTATTCAAATAAATGTTTTTAAAATGTCCTAAGTTACACTAAGAAATCTGAACTATCATCACCTAGAAATTTATTTTTATCAATAAGCAAGGATCAGACAACATGCACATTCTAGGAGAAAGTAGAGTAAACCAACTAAATCATGTTAAGAAAGTACAGTTTTAATTCAGAGAACCTATTATAGATAAATATACAACTCAGCAAAACGAGTGTCTCATGATCAGGTTCATTTTCAGCACTCACAAGTTATTCCTTCAGTTTTTGAAAATTACATCCAGATTTACTTTTACAGAGTCCAAAATAAATATATCTGCACATTTGTGATAATTTTTAACTTTTGCCTTAAATACAAAGTTTCCGAGATTTTTGGCATTTTTTTTTAGTTCACACCATTAAAAAAAAAAGCCATTTTTCCCCCAACATAACACTGATTAGTGGAAACAGCATGCACTAAGGTTCCAATACTGAATCAACTACTTACTGTGTGACTTAAGTCAAGAGCGTAACTTTTCAGGAGGCATTTGTGAGAAATGACATGTCTTTTTAAAATGGACTTAGTGGAGGGCTTGGCACAAAGTATGAATTCAACAAAAGTTAGTCCTGTGCATGGCAATAACTATAACTTTCAGAAGTTAGAAACTTTTTTACTATAATTTTATAATATAATTTTATATTTTATAAATATAAAAGCAAAGTTTCGGAAATGCTATTATTTTAATAACAGCATCTAAAACTAAAGACATTTTAGGTTATTATACCATATACCTAAGAGCAGCCAATATTCTCAGTTTTTAAATGGATATTAGAAATGATAATTGGGATTAGCATCCATATTAGGAAATTTCAATTGCACCTGGTATAAGCATGATACAAATCAAGTTGAAGTTACTGGAAAAGAATATTGATTCTGCTATCAAGAATTACCTTTTATTTTCTTAAGAGAATATATAGCTAGTAACTTTAGTTTATTTAGCATCAAACATACTGGCATAAAAGCCATTACCTTCAGTTGAGTTTCATATTCCAAACCCAACTCAGAAAGCTTATTGGCAATTATATTTTTCTGAATCATATATAATGTTAAACTGATAATTTATGACTCTGGTATCTCCCATACTCAGAGATATTAACCAAATGTTCATAAAGCAGTATCAAGAAACTTTTGGGAGTACAATACTTAACCAAATTAATTTCTGAACTAATAATTTGGGTAAACTTTGATCTGTTAATTAAAGCTCTAAGCAGGAACACAGGATTTCTATGTAAGAATTATAATTTTGAAAGGAAGAAAAATCTTTATAATTGCCCATTTTAGAAAATAGAGATGTGTTTCTAGTAACTAAGGTTAGTCACAAAAGCAAGCTCTGATTCAGAATAATTCCTTCTACCAGTCTAATATACTGACACTACAAGAAAGTCATTGCTTGCCTATTCCCCTCAAAATGGTTACCATTTGTAAAATCATTCTAATATCCCATGAAACCCAAGGTCATGTTTATTAGACTGAATTCTTCTTTGATGTCTGGTTGACAGAACACTACTAAATCAAGTGTTTTGCTTGGGAATTTAACTTGTAACATCACACCCTGAAAACGATCACAAGAGAAGAGGCCAGAGAGCTATGGTGGTGGTATGAGACAATGGCCACTTGGTAGGTATGTAGGAATATCATAAAAGTGATGGAGATGAGCTTAGATAAACACACGGAAACATTTGATTCAATCCAGGTCAAGTCCTTCAATGGGCTCTATACTGTCACTGTAAGCCAATTCCTGGTTGTCACAATCTCTCTAGTGGTAACAACCCTGAGTGAACTTTAACTGGAATGTCACCATTCCACACAAGTGCCATTAAAATCTGATCACATGCACCTTCTTTTTCCTTCTTTTCTGCCATTCTACTTTTGCTTTATTCTTCTTCAAAAGTCACAAGACAGCCAACAATATCCCAAAATACATTTGGCTCTACTTGGTAAAACCTGTAACAAAGAAGCTGTGGATTCCACGCACTAGAGAAATCAGAGAGGGATGGGCACATGATAGTATTTTCTCTCATTTCATACAGTTCACTGAAACCAAATGGATAAGATATCTTGTCTTTAAGATCTAGCAACTCATTGGCCATTAACTAGTATAATCATTTATCTGAACATAGAAAGCTGAGGCCTGGCCAAATTATATCATTTGATCAAGATCACATGGAGAGATGTTAGCCAATATTTGGAATAATATTAGGTTGTCTGACAACTGAAATTAAATATATTTACATATATTGAAATAAATTAAGTGCCTAGTATAGAAGATGTTGAAGGACTTTCTCCTATAAAAAACTCTAGTCAATTTCCATTTGTGAATGTCAATATAGTGCCATCACTAGAGCCTCTTTCTAGCTTTTTAATAATGGAAATATAATTGACAAATAACAATGTACTCATTTCAGGTATACAAGGTAATGACTTGATATTTGTATATATTGTGAAATGATCTCCACAATAAGTCTTTTTAACATCTGTCACAGTACACAGTTATACTTTGTCTTGGGATGAGAACTTTTGAGAATTACTCTCTCAACAACTTTCAAATATGAAATCCAGTATTATTAACTACAGTCACCCCGTTGTATATTATATTCCCATGAACAATTTGGAAATTTGTACTTTGTGATCCCCTTCACCAGTGTGCCTGCCCACCACCACCCACCTCTGGCAACCACAAATCCACCAATCTGTTCTCTAAATCTGTTTTGTTTTTAGATTCTCTACATAAATGAGATCATTCAGTAAACAAACAAACAAACAAACACACAAAAAAACTCTAGTCAAAATAGTCAGACCAAGGGCACCTGTGTGGCTCAGTCAGTTAAGCGTCTGACTCTTGGTTTTGGGAGGCTGCTTGGGATCCTTTCTCTCCCTCTCTCTACCTCTCCCCTGGTCATGCTCTATCTCTCACTCTCAAAAGAAATATATACACTTAAAAAAATTACAAAAAATAGGTTCCCACTGACCCACTGATATAAGATCAGAGGCATGAAAAAAATGTGTAGTCTGTTCTTGCTAGTTTTGTTAAATGTTTATGGACGGTGGAACAGTAGAGGGCCTTACAACTTGGTTTTACTGGGACAAAATCTCCTAAGTAAGAAATATAAAAAATAATATACCATTGGGTTCCATTTCTTGTTGCAGTAATATAAAAAAGGAACATAAAAAGCCATCTGTTTTGCAATGACATCTTCTGTTAGGGTCCCAGTCTACTTAGAGGCCCTTCAGGGGTAGTTGGAGGTATGTGTGCAGTGCCAAGATCAGTGACAGCTTAATTTGTGTTAGAGCTCTCAGCCTGGGATGAGGGATCACACTCTCAAAGTTTTAATGTGAAAAGCTCTGAATACTCACAATTAAATTGTGGCATTTACTATGTGCTATTTCATGGCTCTCATTCATAATCATTAGAAAATGTTGTAGTGAGCAAAGTTATAATGTATTTCTAAAAAAATTACTGAAGGACAGGAGGAGTTAAGAAGTAGCAGGAGGACCCTAAGCTTGCTTGGTCCCTCGAACTCAGCTAGATAAATGTCAAATCATTCTAAATACCCAAGAAATTGATCTGAGGACTGACAGAACTGCACGTTTAGAGAGACAGAGAAGAGGGGACTTGTGGAAGGCAGGAGGTGCAGAGATGTGATTTGGGAGAGAAGCGGACTGTGGCTGCTGCAGAAGGGAGGGATCCCTGGTCACGGAGAAAGGTCAGAGAGAAAGAGGAGTGCACAGGGGATTGCACAAGGAGAATGTTTCCCTAAAGTCACTGACTGGGAAAATGATAGGGGCTGATTTTCATGAATTTTTAAAACCAAAGACCGGAGTTTCAGAGGTCCATGATGTGGCAAGTGTGGAGCCCAGTGGATGCTGCAGTGCTCCTGTAGAGAAGGAGGGCAGATAGTCCAGGGGCAGATGGCTGTGCAATCTGAGGATCTTCTGGGATGCACTGGTAGAGACAGTTCCCCCTTCTAGGAGCACATCTGAGAGAGGTGGCATTGCCTCTAGGGGCACAAAGGAGCTGGTGGTACCATTTCTCTCCCCCAGCCCTCAGCATAAACTAACCAGTCATCAGCACAGTGCCAACAGTGGCAGTGTAAACTACCAACACCAGGCCCTCCCCAACCCCCACACTCTGCAGGTGCTGCTTTGCTCAGGCAAGTGTGTCTGAGAACCAGTGCAGCAGGCTTCTCCCAAAGAAGACTAGCACAGCCCTCCCCCTCCAGCCCCCTGCACACACCAAGTTTACTGACCATAGAGTTCTACAAAGCTTCAACTCTAGTATAAAATAGCATCAGGTCTCTTTTAACAAGCAGACCAGAGTACGCCTAGTTAAAACCCGCCACACTCTGGACAACACTGAAACACTCCCCACTGCAGGTAAGGAGAAAGTCTGCAGAGGACTGACCTGTGGGAAACAGCAGCCAAAACACAGCAGCAGAGTACACACAGCATACACTAGAGACACTCCCTACAGTACCAGGCCTTGGAAAGTATGTGACCTCTTTTTTATACAGCCATTACTCTCAGGAGCAGGAAACATAACAGGCTTTCCTAAGACACAGAAGAAGAAGACAGAGACTTAGATAAAATGCCAAGACGGAGGAATTTATCCCCCCCAAAAATAACAAGAAAGGGGTCTAATTGAAACACATATAATAATATGCTTGATCCAGATTTAAAACAATGATCATAAGGATACTAAGTAGTCTTGAGAAAAACACAGAAGACACCAGAGAGTCCCTTACCACAGAGATAAAAGACCTAAAAACTAGTCAGGCCAAAATTTAAAAAATGCTATAACTGAGATGTGAAACCAACTGGATGTAATGACCACAAGGCTGGAAGAAGCAGAGGAATGAATAAGCGATATAAAAGATAACATCAGGGAAAATAATAATGCTGAAAAAAAAGAAGGAAAGAAATATATTGGATGCCAAATGCAGACTTAGAGAACTCAGTGTGACTCCATAAACATTCATATCATAGGAGACCCAGAAGAAGAGAGGGGGGAAAAGGGGCAGAGGTTCATTTAAGCGAATTTTATAGCTGAAAACTTCCCTAATCTGAGGAAGGAAACACATCCAAATCCAGGAGGCACAGAGAATTCCTAAGAAAATCAACAAAGGCAGGCCAACACTAAGACATACCTTAGTAAAATTTGCAAAATACAGGTAAGGAAAAAAAAAATCCTAAAAGCAGCAAGAAATCCCTAACTTACAAGGGAAGACAAAGTTAGCAGCAGATCTGTCCACAGAAACTTGGCAAGCCAAAAGGGAGTGGCATGTGCTGAATTCAATTGTGCCGAATGGGAAGTATATGCAGCCAAGAATACTCCATCTAGCAAGGCTGTCATTTTAGGATAGAAGAAGAGATAAAAAGAGTTTCCCAGACAAATAAAAAAATTACTGAGAACTTGGTGACATTTTAAATGTAGATATAAGTACAAACAGATTTGTGATATTTCTCCTTGAGCAAATGTACTTTGGCACCTTCACTGTAAACCAGCCCTTCGTATAAAAACATGTCTTTGTTATAACACAAGAATAATAATAAATAGCTATCTGAGTTCTAACTTTGTGATAGATGAAAAGTTAACTGTTATATTTAATCTTTTAATACCCATCTATATCTCTATATCACATGAATTATTATGATAGAAATGAGGAAATGGAGAAATAGAGAGATTAGGAACTTGCCCAGAGTTACTCAGCCAGTAAGTGGCAGATCCAATCTGATAATGCTTGTAACTACTAAAAAGTTACTTATATTTATGAAATAAAGTTATTAGTAAAGTTTTCCAGGACTCTGTAATCACAGTCCTGGCTCAGGAGAGAAAGTAATAAAGTAGATGTGACCATGGGACAAATAAATTCCAATATGACTAAGCTGAGTGATACATTTAGCCTAATCATTGCCCTAGAGTTGAGAAGAAGCAAGGAACTAATGTTCAATAATAATCAGACTTAGTAAGGAATACATGACCTCTGAGATTTCTGCCAGAAACTGCTCTTCACACACCTCCCTTGTCTCAGTGAAGCAGGGATAGAGCTTGGGTCTAAATCCAAATGTTATTAGACCTCCAAAGTCTAGATCCTTTCCACTACAACAACAAACTGTATGCAAGGCAAAATCATTTTTCTTCTCCACATCTAAATAGATACTGGCTACTTCATTAGTGATTTTCATCCATTAGAGTGACTGCAAATTATGCTGTGACCTTATGGTCATCATGCAGGTATAATGAATCTATTTCCTGAATTTAGTATTTATGACATTCTGTGATAAAACCCACTATTTTACTTAATAGGGGATAAAAATATTTTTTTTTATTCATGAAGTCAAGATCACTACAGACTTCTCATTCATATTTTCATAAATATTGAGCCCATCAATTCTGACAAGTAAGTCCATTCTTATAGTTACAATGAAATAGGTATAAACTTTTCAACAGAACATTGTTTTGACTTACAGTTACAATGGTACTTCAAGTAAGCCAAATTTTATAGGTCAAAACATGTTCCTCTGAAGGTATAGGAAATTAGTATTTCTAAGCTAAATTAGAATGTAAACATTTGAAACTCAAAATAAAAGATTTTGGGAGCAAATACTAATGAAATAAATATATGAAATTAAAGAAAATTTGATTGCCTGACTCCTGCGTCAAAGTAGTTGCCAGACTATAAAATTTATATTAACTTCAATTTTAAGATTTAATTAACACAGTATATAATGTGGAACAGTTCAAATGTTTTCTAAAACTTCATTACTATACTTACTCAGTTGGTAAAGTACTAAATGCTTTAGGACTATCTTCTAAGCTAGAAATTATATTTGGCAAAACTAAACATGCATGATCCCTAAGAATCTTTGTTAAACTGGACTATTTCAATTCAAGGAAAAATTTAAAAGTATGAACAGGGGAGCCTGAATGGTTCAGTTGGTTAAGCCTCTGACTCTTGACTTCAGCTCAGGTCAAGATCTCATGGTTCGTGGGTTTGAGCTCCACATCTCTCTCTCTCTCTCTCTCTCTTTCCCTCCCTTTACTCCTCCCGTGCTCTCTTTCTTAAAATAAATAATCTTTATATATAAAAAAGTATAAACAATAGGAAAAGACAGCTTTCCCACAATCTTTAAGAGTAAAGAAGAGGAGCACTTGGGTGGCTCAGTTGATTGAACACCTGACTCTTGATTTCAGCTGAGGTCATGATCTAACTCACAATTCATGAGATCCAGCCCCGTGGCAGGCTCTGCACTATCAGAGCCTGCTTGGATCCTCTCTCTCCTTCTCACTCTGCTCCTCTCTGACTCATGCATGTACATGTGCACATATTCTCTGTTTAAAAAAAAAAAAAAAAAAAAGATAAGAAAAAAAAGAACCAAGAATTTTGCTTATTCTATTTACTTCCTGAAGAAAAACTAAGTCAATTAAATAATTAAATCCCTAGATGATATGCAAAAATAGGTGCACCTTTTGGTGATATTTTAGTAAGTAAATTGCATTTATTAAGTAATAGGTATTTTCTTTCCTAGAAAAATTTTAATACAGAGGTTAATTATTCAGTGTACACATACTGCTATTGTTCCAAAGTGCCATAGTTTATTCCTTACATTATCTTTAGTTTCCATTCTCTTTAAAGAGATATTATATGCTACTCTGCATTTAGTTGGGCAAGTTTGGGACTTCAAATAATCTATGAAGTATTGCATTGTTTGAGGGGCCTTCAGTATTATCGGAGAAGACAGATGCTAAGTTTAAGATGTGTGCTATGACATTTTGGGGCAAAAGTCAAGTGTTTATTGTAAATATGATCAGTGATGTTGACTAATGTGGTATTCTACTTGACAATAGGGGTGTGTGGGGAAACTTGGTTTTTGTTATGTTTAAATAAATTTACTTACATTTCATTAGTACATCTGGTTTCTACAACGTGTTTACATTTCATCAACTCCTATATTTTCAGAGTAAAAAGAAAAGCTCAAGCACTGCTGATCCAGCAGTTACCTTGACAAAGTCACTTGTAGAGCTATCACACAATGGAATGCAATGGGCCAAAAAATATAGCCAAGCATTACTGCAGTGATCACTAAAACCCACCCCTGCCTCAACGAGTCACAAGGTGGGAGCAGAGCAGCAGTACGGTGATCCGTCACTATTTAGGTTGAAAGGGGCTTCCCAGGAAATGGGACCGGAACGGTGTACAGGCTTAGCAGTTAAAAAAATTGGATTTTTAAAGAAACAGTTTAACTGAAATGTAACATACTACAGAAAAATTCAGAAATTTTAAGTTAGATGAATTTCACAAAGCAAACACAACTGTCTAATCACTTTCTAAGACCAAGAAGAACCCCTCTCCCAGCCTTGTCCCCTCCCTGAAAGGCAAAAATTATTCTGACCTCTATCATTGCTGACTAGTTTCACCTGAGTTTGAATTTTGTATAAATGACTACATCCTGGGGAGTGGTGTCTGGTTTCTTCGGTGTACCAGTGTGTTTACTGAGCTCCATCTGTGCTGCTGTGCATAGCACTGGTTCATTCTTTCTCACTGCAGTAGAGATTTCCATTGTAGAAATAAATCAGTTTAGTCATCTGTCTAGGGGTTGAGAGACATTGGGCTTGTTCTCAGTTTTTGGCTATTACAAATAATGCTGCTCTGAACACTTCCAGCTTGGAACGGAGCTGCTGTATTCTGTGACAACCTGGCAGCTGATTCCTCTGCCTTCCCATCTTACTTCTTCCCTTGCACATCCATTTTATACATTACTGCTGGAGAAAAATCCTTCTTAAATAGAAATTTGACTCCACATTCTGCTCAGAAACTTCCAAAAGCCCTTGACTGTGTTCAAATCCAAAAAACCTAAAAATCCGTAAAATCCAAACTCCTCCCAGGTCACAGATGTACTACTTCTTGATCCTCTCACAACTCCCCCGTTGTCCTCTACTCCACCATATGCTGAGACATTTTTGGTTCTTTGAATGATCATCCTCTCAAGCATCTTTGCGCGGCATATGCTCTTCTTCCTCCTTGGAAAACGCTTTTGACGTTAGCTTCCTTCCAGACATCTTTCCCCAAGTCTCCTGGCTCCTCTTCTGATCTGAAGGTGGCCACTCTCTGTGCTTCTAACAAGCATTAGGTTTTTGTTTCATCCTGGCAACTCTCAAAGAGTGCTTATCTGCTTAACTCTTCTGATTCCTGTACTACCTCTTGAACCCTTCAGCACAGTGGGTGATACGTAGTGGGTGCACCATATGTGTTTGCTGAATAACACAGGTGCTAATTGTACAGGACAGAAACTGACAGTTTACATTGAACTGGAGAAACTAAAGCACAGTTCTAATGAGAAAGTGTCAGTGTGAATCCAGAGGTGACAAAATCATCATTTACTCAGGGCTGAGTAAAGCCCTGACTCAAACTCTTGGAATAAATGGTAAATCTTACCATTAATGATGCTGCTATGAATATTACACTACATTGTAAAATTCCTA